GAAGAGGAATGGGAAATATCGCCGCTGTCGTTGTTCTGAAGAGATACCGGAGCCAAAAACATCTTCATGTTGCAGCCACCGTTGTTACCTTCGCTAGTGAGGTCTAAGCTGGAAGTACAGAATGAGGGTATGGTGGGATAGAGCGGGGCAGCAATCCCCCGATCTCGGATGATTTGGGAAAATGGCTTCTTCCTGGTGATGATCATCGTAATAATAATATGGGCCGTTTGTCGCATGCCGCTTTGTAATTCTGCTCCTTTCGAGAGGTACGGGGGGTGTCGACGCGTGCTAAAGCACACAGACACACACTAAAAGATGTTAGCAGCCGATGTAGTGCTAGACGCAAACATAGGGTGAGCAACGGCAGCGTTTAGGTTCGCTGCTATACATCATTAGCATTAGTAAGTAGAAGAACGAGCGACATCGCCGCTGCTCGAGGTGACTATCCTACCCCTCTGTCGACTTTGTGCAGAGAGAGCTTCGCATATTTCGGCTCCCTGGGACCCCCATCAGGATTGTCTCGATTTAGAGTCGCTAGTCCCTGGCGAGACTGCCACTTCGTCCTCCAACAAAAGACAATCTGATCTATGCAATCTAACGATCTTTGTCGGGCTTTGTTTGCACGGAAGAGCACCACACTTTTGGTAGTAGCAAACGGTGGATACTTGACCAGCGCTAAGAACCAAGAGATGGTGCAAGCGAACAGCCGCAAACGCGGCATACGATTACGATAAGGGATCATGAAGAATTACAAGTCATTTTTAGGGAAGTAAATTATCACTGTCGTATTCTGGGTGAAAACGGTGTTACCAAATCGAAACGGACATGTTGTTCCGCCACTGACGAATTCACAGATCATATAACTAATACGCGAAAATTTTAATTGTGAAATGATGTTGCCGCGTAGCGGTAAGCTCAGCAAATTGGGTTGAACTAACTGGGTCGTGGATAAATCAATTAGCCTGTCCCCTGTTGCTGCTTGTTGTTGTTGTTGTTCAACCACGATTATCATATAGATATATAAGACGATCGACTAGCCTACAGCTAGGGTCCAATTTGTGTTAAAGTGAAGTTTAGATAAACTACTGGTTGCCCTCTACTCGCCAGTTCGCCAATGTACTGCAATTTGAGTGCGCCGCAACCTAGATTTGCTTGGTCAGGTAATGTACCCAGCAATGATCCTCCATGATATTTACATTTGCAGAGAGTTAGCTACAAAATCTTGATACCTTAATGCCGAATTGACAAATATACTCCGTATGCGCAAATAAATTATACAATTCAGTACGTTTGCAAAATATAAACCTGTATGAGTAGTCATCCGAAGGGTTTCCGTACCCCTGTTCTCTACGTTCTTCATCGATGACGTCCGGTTAGGCGCGCCCGTGGTAAAACTAACGTTTGAGTTGTTTCACCTACAAGCTAATATTTAAAGTGCACCATGATATCCGGTAAATATAACAATCTGTATGACACTATTACGTATGCCTGCTCAGGCAAGAAAAGCGACGTTCATGCTTGTATCGTTTATCGTCTGCCCTAATCTTCTACCTAATGCTAACGTCACCCGTACTGCAGTAATAGTAATAATAAGCAATACTTGCAGTAATAATGCTGATCTAGTCCATAGGCAAAAGCTGTCATGTTGCTTCGTTTGGTTCGAAGGCTAAGCTTTGCCGCGACTTCAGTGATTGCATTGAGGTGAGTTCGAGGTTCAACAAATCTATCTTGTTCAGACTGTACGTCTCGTTCCTGTTGATGCTCCCTTACTGACTCCTTGATCGAGCCTTATAAGCAAAGTCGTTCTACTGTTTGTACTTCAGACGCGCGTCGACAATGGTGATCGGACGGGTACACACACATATATACATATAGACACCCCCTCCACTCATATGTGTTAAATAGCGTCCTTTACAGCTGCCTAGTTTAAGGCCTGTAATACGCAGAGTTGGCGTACCGCGATCCCCAACAACACCGCAAACAGCGTGCCACAGAGGGAGCATGTTGTTGTTAATACTCTACCTCGACTACAGCTCCCCCCACGAGACGCGGCTAAGCTCCACATTGAAGTAAAGTCAGGCTGAGAAAAGGACTGCCAAAGAGAATTATGAACACTATAACGTTGCCAGACACGCATGTACTTTCTGGTCCAAGTGTAGGGGTTTCGCAGAGCGCGGACAAGACCGTGTATACTACTGCGGAGCGTCACAAGCGACCATAAGCGCAACGATGGCAGGACCAGTGATAGGGATTTGGGTAGCGCGCTTGACTGGATCCGCAGCGCGTCAACGCTTGGGGTTTTGGCTGTGATACGGGTTTTGCTTGTTGGGTATCCACTAGCGTTGATTGCAAGCTAGCCTTCCTCTCTGTCCCTTGTGGCCCATGGATCGATTCAATTTGGGCGATGCGTAGCATATACAACAAAGGAAAACACACAATGAAAACGACCCATGTACGTGGTGTTATGTGTGTAGGGAGCATTTCGTATTGAAGCTGCGGGGAGCTGAAGCTGAAGTATGTCGTTCATCCCGCTGAAGACATTGTACTCCATTCCCAACGGAATTCGAGGCGACTATATTGTCTAATGCTGAAAATTTTCCCATACATGTGCGTGTAAGGCCATATATAATCGAGATGAAGGTGGTTTCGTTAATGGATCTAACTGCAGAATTACTATTAGTTTATGTTTGTTTGTTTGTTATTCGTGTATGGGTTAAGCCTAAGAAGAGTATGTTGGCATTGCTCCCATCTTTAAAACGCGGACCGGACAAGTAGTATCTGTTATTAGGAGCACTGATCGTGAAATTTAGGTTGGCTCAACAAGGCAGAACGATCACCGGATAAGCCTAGTCACCCGTGCCGGCGAATTCGTCGTGCCTGGTATGATTTTTGACACCTCCGACGACGACGACGACAGTTTGTAGGAACAGCATGAAATAGGAAAGGTATTTTGCTTAATATCAAAGCTCAAATGCGTGTGCAGCGAAACAAGTACTATATGAGTCCTATTTTGATTGACGAATGTTATTTTTTTTTATTTTCCATAGAAAGAACACGGCAAAATCGGACACATACTTCAATGAAGGTTCAAATCAAAATACACACGTATAACGTTGATATTTAAGGTGTCGAGGCCATTGTAGTTAGGAAACATGATAAATCGTATTATAATTAGATGATAGCTTTACATATGAGATGAGTACAATAGATGCCTGAAATCGGCCTGTTTACACGCTGCTCGAGTGAAAGTGTTGAACAGTCACGAATTTTCAGAAATATGAGTTACACACTAGATGGTACGTACCGCAAGCATCTCGTGTGCCTGGGATTGCTTCATATGATGCCAATTTCCAATTAAATTTGTCTCCGAAAGCTTTGGTTGTACCCTAAAAGAAAACGATGTGAAAACATACCTAGTTGCATTTACTTGTCATCTTCGAAATATTACATTGAATGCCAGTTCCAGGCACTTACGGAGGAAAGATTTTATGTCATCCTTCATCTAGTGTTTTCTAATGAGCATTTATCGGGCTCAGTAGCATTCAGTCATATCGAAATGACATAGACTGATTCAACTATAATTATTTTTTGCCTATTGATAAGAGTAATCAAGCGGTCTAATTATGATTGATACCTCTTCTCCATTCTTCTGCAATGCTCGCCTCAGCCACCGTTTGGTGAAGCAAGCAGACGGCTGGATGACGTCTATGCTAGGTCTAGACATTTTTTATGTTTTAAATTAGATTGTATCTTCACATCTCTTTTTATATTCAACTGTGTACTCGTGCGGCAGGTAGCGGACAACCCCTGTCAATCGAGAATAGGAAGGTTCAGGTACCAAGCGCAGTCAGAAAAACTTTCCACTATCCTAGATTTCACTAGATGCTCAACTCTAATCAGTTCCTGATTCAATGTCTCGGTCCCTGACTTTACGCCGCGACGATACGTCCCCTTTCCGTCCCAAATCTAACAACGTTGCACACGATGGCCATACTCCGCAGCCACTTCGACATCAACGCAGGTTGTGCACCAGGCCCACTTATGGCCATACTTATTCTCTGCTCAGGCGTTTCGAACGGAAGAGAACACTTCACCCTCATTTCTTCTCGACGTTAGGTTTCATCCAGAATATACGAAACTGGGGAATGGTCGGGAATTCGCGCGACAGCCCGGTACTCCCTGGCTGCCGTAGCTATCATCTTGCCCTCGAGGGGGAGGTACCACGAGGCTCCCAACGAGCGAAGTTGATCACGTTTACGTGTTAGTTGTTGTCGCAGAGAGATACAAAAGGAATGGTGGCGAGGTGAAAATGTACTATGTTTCGTTCGCTTCTGCTACCGTTTGCACAGTTCCCGCAGCGGGTATTTTTCGTTGGGGTGGTTCATCGTCCATCTCATAGGGAGTGCGAGTCTGCGCCGCTTTTCTCTACGCCGAGGTTACAGGAGTCACCTTGCTCTCTCCGGTAAAACCTAGGAGTTCAGGCGACGCGCGGACAACTCCAACCCGGCCCCGGCGCTCACCGACGCTTATCCCCCCTCCTGCGTCGTCGACGCAGCTTTCAGCTCCTACAGTTTTCTCTCGTTCGTTTCCCAGCAACAGTTTCCAAATAGTTTTGCAGCACCGTCGACGCCCCTGGGGCCGCCCTTGCTGGTGCCATCACCGCCATTAACTTCACGGTCGTTGACACTGTCGACGCTGCAAGCTCACACAGATATTTAGAGGCGGATAGGCGCGCACGTACCTACACAGATAATATGTACGCTGAGTGCGTTTCCTAGCTGCCTATCTATCGATAGTGGAGGCAGTAGTAAACGCAATAACGAAGCAGGCAGTGTTATTATGCGAATAACCGGTCAGTCTACCCTCAACGAGGAGGAGCCTCTTTGATGCGTGGAAAGGGGGCGGATCTAGCGGAGCCGATTGGTCGACACCGGTTCCTAGGAGGGGCTAGACCGACCACATATACTGAGATTGTGTGTTGAGAAACAGTCAGTTTGTTTATACAACTAGAGGGTGATACAAGAGCACCTAGCAGCGACCAGCAAACAGTCGACGGCACTCACAGCCCACAGACGGAGAGCGAGGTCAGTCCGTTGGTGACTGAATAAAGAAAATAGTGTTATACGGGAGAAGTTGGACAGTGAATTTTGATTGTAGAAATCGAAGAGGGAACTTTGGAAGAGGGAGCAACGTATCGACGATCGATGAACATCTAACTACTTCTAACCGGGTTCTTCGCGGTATCGAGGGAAACAGGATAGAACAAATTAGATTGTAGTGATTGTACCTTAGTCGTGTGGTGTCGTGCGTGACCCAAAGACAGCAACTCTAGAAGTTAGTGTTTTTAACTGCCAACAGTGAGGACCATTGTGTTTCTGTTGTTTCAAGATTAAAGACTGCTGGCGAGTTATCCTCAGAGTGCTATATCGAAAAGTGTTCTACAACTGTCAACGAAGTTCCTATTTCGTTACTAAATCGATATAAAGGAAGTGTTTCGTCTCTCAGGACCTGTTTAAAGAAGACACTTAAAGGCAAAGTCGACGGCAGATCGTTTAGGTGACCTGATACAGTCATCTATTGAAGTTCTGTTGCCGTTCAAGTGTGAGCGGTATGATGATGTCGTTTGAGCAAACTGTCGAGGTGCGTAAACCTAAAAAGCTAACCTCGTTCAGCATATCATCTCTAATTGATACTGATTCCGATTGTGAGGACGACGTACCAGATCTAAAAGTGGAAAATTCTGACCCAGTCTCCGAAGACGGGCTTGAAGAAGAAGGTACCGACACGAAGGAAGGAACCGAAAACGGCAATCAAGAGCCCGGCTTACCAGAACCCGAACTCAAAACGTTACCGGACACTTGGAAAAAATCAAAGGACAAACCGCCTTTCAGTTATAACGCTCTAATTATGATGGCGATCAGGCAATCTACTGAAAAAAGACTTACCCTTAACGGCATCTACGAGTACATCATGAAAAATTTCCCGTACTACCGTGAGAACAAGCAAGGCTGGCAAAATTCAATCCGACACAATCTCTCGCTAAATAAATGCTTCATTAAGGTTCCCCGCCATTATGATGATCCGGGAAAGGGAAACTACTGGATGCTTGACCCTAGCGCCGATGACGTATTTATTGGCGGCACAACAGGCAAACTTCGTCGACGAACGGCGCCTGCGACGCGCAATCGTTTAGCATTGCTCCGACGGAACCCGGCGGCGCTTCAGGCCGCAGCGTTCGCCGCAACCTCTCATCTAATGGGGGCCGGGTCCCCGTACAGCGCGTATAGTTCCGGTCAGCCATGGCATAACGCGGCAGCCGCATTAGCAGCAGCATATCAAAGCGCCGTGGTTTCGAAACTTAGCCAACAGCAACAGCTGCCAAAAAGCCTCCAGCAGCAGCAACTCCCCATTCCACACCAACTGCCTCCCACGGCGTTACCTCCAGTAGCCCTCGGAGCCCCCCTGGAGCGCCTTTCGCCCTTCGGAGCGCTATACCCGCCCAACCTTTACCTTCAGCAGCAACAGGCGTTGGCACAGCAGCGCTCCGCCCTTATTGCGCGAATGCAGGCCCAAGAAGAACTAGATGCCCTTCGAAGGTCTCCCAGTTCCCATTAAGAACCTCTAACCTGTAGCTTAGTGGAGTGCCATGGCAACTGGAGGCCCCATTGACAGGGATAACGGCAATGGCTTTTGTTAGATATGCTAGTATAACCAAGTGCCCTATTTGTTGTTATTAATAAGGGCAGCTGTTGATGGTCTGTTAAACACACACCTAAAAAAAAAGATAAGAACATGAGAGAGAACAAAGAGAAAAATAATAGGACAAAAAACATACGTGCGAATGTACTTCAGCAGAATTTTGACGACGTCTATACTGTACATATTTATATAGATATAAATATATATATATATGAAGGAAAAACAGTCAATTCCTGCCACTCTCCTACGGCCCCGATTAGGAAAAAGAATAAGCTCTCAGTGCCGAGTGACGATTGCTGGGGACACGGACGCAGGCAATAGCACTTAACGATCTCAAATGTGATGCAATATTCTGTACATAATTCTGTAAATAAGTGGCAATTGTTGTCAGAAAGTGAAGAAAATGTAATGAAAAGACCAATAACAAGCAAGTGTAGCTTATATTACGCTGATCCAATGATGATGTGTTATGTATAGATGCTGATGTGTGTGGTGATATAAGCGACGAGGACGCAAATAATAACTATAGAGGTGACCAGATGGCAGGACTAAAAAACATGAGATGCTTGTGTTTTGATTTCACATGTTTATATTTGATCAATTTCTAAGTTGATAAATGTTCCGGTTTTTTATTTGTGGCAATTCCTATAGAATAGATGTATATTAGTTGGTTATGTTTGGACCAGGTCGTCGATAAATATCTAAGGGGCGCGTTTTCCTTCAGCGAACTAGGTAGTCGGTGACACACGAACATGGATGGCTGTTTTCTGTCTTACCAGAGTAACTACATATTATAGATAAGTGTGATTGGCTTTAATCCATATAATTTGACAGCCAATCAATGGGTGGCCGTAGAATTGGGTGACAGTACAAAATAAGGTATGTATAAGGGTACGTATGTAGTAATGATAACGTGTTTGCATTTTGAACGTAATAACACGTAAAAAACCTAAGGCAATGCCTAAAAGCAATATCAACTGTGAAGCTTGAAATGTTCCTTTAAATATTGGAATTTAACTTAGCGTTACCCGTACGCCGGGGACGCCAAAAGCTGTAGCCCTTGACAACAGCTGCTAGCTTCAGTGTTCTCTATTGTAGATTTTTTTCTTTATCTCAAATTCAATCGGCCTAAGCCTATTATAGGCCGAACGATCACAGGTACGGTTAGCGCAAGCAAATACAGTGTGTATGCGTGTTGAAATTAAAGAAAAAAAGCTTATTAAAGGTGGTTTTGTATCTACCATCGAAGAAGATTCTTGAAGGAGCAATTTTAGACGATATAATCGATAAAGGCCATTAGAAATGCATTTAAAGCTATGGCAATCATAATTCGCATTGCTAACCTGTCATTACTGATTTTTCTACATTGCAACTTGGCCTAACTTCTCGATAGTCCCATCGACAGAATCGACAACCCGAGCTTACTCGTTATCACTCGAACTACCTACGAACAATTTAAAAAATAATGGCCATTTTTTTTATCCAAAACCCGTTTCAAACGTTCGTCATATAGCAATTTCGAAACACCGCTTGTAAATAGCGCACCCAACGCTAACCCTTTCCGAGCGATATAACCGGCTTGCCAGTGGTAACCACCTGCGTCAGATGATACATAGGATGCTACGGCTGTGAACCTGCATCAGTACACAATCGGTTGACTAAAACCTACGTTTTTCTGCTGTTTGGATCTGCTCATTGTCTACGCTTCAACCGTTAGTGACCGTTACTGCCCGAATCAGGTGAAGGGTCATAATCTAGTTGTGGCATATTTATTTTGAAGTAAAGACTTCGTCCCTAATCGCAACGCTTATTCAGAGTCGCGTGTCGTCAACCGACGCCATATTCGATTTGGAATTGTTTCAAGGAAAACCAAGAAGATTTTATTTTCTTTAGGCAATTTAAGTGATGGCTGCGTTCGTTAGGTCATAGTGCCCATAGAATCATCATGCTCTTTTCTAGTTTATCATACATGTAGTGTATTAAGCATCGAATAAGCCGTAGATGCAAATGCTTCTCTTCAGTCTGCCTAGAAAAATGACGAAGAAATCGGTCTTGAACAATTCGATTCAAAGAAACTTAATTAGTTGTAGTATATCTATTTGTTTATGTTCTTGTAAAAGATAAACTGTCAGCTTTATCGAAATGAAAAGGAAAACAAGGTAACATTGCGTGCGAACTACAAAACTACTCAAAGTCTACAGTGGTACATGTAATACTCACTGCTTTTCCTTTTGCTACTGATCTTCGTTTTTCCTTTTTTGCAACAATTTCACTTTCCAACATCGTCGGCTTGAAATCTTTCGAAAGGAGAGCTATCTACTCGAGCCACTTATGTTTCCTGTTCGCATGTAATCTGAGTGTGGATGGTTTACCCCATAGCAAACAGCCGGCTGGCCTTCACCTAACATCACCCAGTAAGCCCTTCGCAAGTCGCTCAGGGTTACTGGCAGGACAAAACATTCCTAGTTCATTCCTGATCATACGATATACATTTTCCCTAGAACTTGCATAATTATATAGGAGCGCCGTAGACTGTGATCGATATAGATGTTCGTGGCAATGTTTGTATCAAAATATCTCTCAACTTACCTCTCGACCCAAGACCAGATATCACGACTACCGCTCACATATTCGCTGTAGAAATAAGCGCCTATAGAAGCATTAGGTAGATAAGGGTACTTGAACCATCGGCTACCGCTGACTGTAGCCTCTCCTTCCTCTTTATTCCACCAACAACGCGACCATTATTTCGGCATATGGACAGCATCGGCGGCCCGGCCGCTGATGATGACGATCAGCTGCTATCGACGCAGTTTGCTTGCTCGATCTTGCGGTCGTTTGTTCTGAAGTTAAATTTGATGCCACTTTGTATATTAGTGGCCTTGTGTACATATCCAGCTACGTGGCTTGCCTGTGGGCTAAGTCCCATAGACAATAACAACGAATGAAGAACGGTCACAACCGAGAACTGCTGTAAGAGGAGCGATTAGCCGATACCGCTGAGGTGCCGTTGTAACCGATTACAAAAAAGTGTCTGGGTCCTTTTACATATGTGTATACCTGAATATATAAATACTACGCTCAGACGAGTCAATCCTGGGCGTATTTGTCACTCGACCGCCATCCTGGTCTTCACCGCCACCATCATAGCGGTGTTCATGGTGCGCATGATGATGACGAGGTAACTTGAAGACCCAGTATCAGATATCGCGTCGGTACCCACTCGATGATGGTGGCTTAGCTTAGTGTTAGCCAAGCGAAGTTTTGTTTGGCGACAGCCATGGCACGGCGATCGGTTAATCCTCTGTGGTCCTACTGTGGCGGACTCAGGTAAGTAAGCAACAATGGAGTAAAATCGTCTCCAGGAACCAGTGAAACACAGAAGGTTGCAGCTAAAAGATTCGTAAAGCAATTGGACGCATTTCGTCGCTGTGGCAGCAAACAAATAACCGTGCGCGTAGAACTGCGAGCCGCCTTCGAGCGTTAGAACCCCCGGGACACGAACCGGTCATGGGCCGCTAGTGATGAACAACTACGAGCAAAGTAGTTGACTTAGCATGCAGGAACTCATGAAGGTACCTGACAGAGAAGGCCGCTTTACTTTTATATAATGCACTGAGATTCAGTAGAACATTTGAAATGACTTCTAGCGCCTACATCCGAATGGACATAATCGGGAATTTGCAACTATAGGCAACCTTGGCGCTGGAAAAATCCTGTCGGGCGAATTCATTACAGACCGTAAAGTAATAGAGGCGGATTTGAGCATTGACAAATTGGCACCGTGCCGTAGAAGGAAGTTTGTTTGTCCTGCCTCATCTATTATATGCAATACTCACGCGTCATCGGTGAGACCTAAATCAGCGACCTCCGCCGTTCCTGCTGGTAACGCTTTTTAATGACAGGCTTCAACGTTGCATTACAGCGTCAAGGCGTGCGTTGTGAGACAGCGACTAAAACACCATTGGACTGAATAGAAACACCGGTAGCTGAATAGAAGCACCGGGCGAAACAATTTTTAAGGATTGAATCTGCTTTGTAACAGTAGTTTACCAAAACTCACGCTAATATCAGGACAAGATCCTACACTACTGCACTGACAGCCGACGTCGATTGAGTTGATCCCCGGACTCGGCCAGAGCTTTATTCTATAGGCAATATAACAGAGCTAACATTCGTATGCGGGTGTTGCGCTCGGATACCAATGTTCTACATTTTTTTTCGTACTTCAATAAGGAATATTGTATAACATATCACTTTGCTTGCTTTTTCCGTTTTCGGGCTAGAAACTTGTTAACACTCTATGCTAGACAGCCATGATAATTGCCAAGGACTCAGCTTAAGGCTGCGGAGTCATGACGGACTTCGTGCGCGCACCCAGCCATTGGTAACCAGCCAATGACCCCGTACCTCATCGGCTAATGCTTTCCAATAACAATCTTCACTGTGGACCGCTATCTGAGCAGTATCATCGACGATGATTGTCAACAAATCAACAATTACAGAACGAGTGGCGAGGTTGCTGCCGCAAATTCAAGCTTATCATGACGAAATTTACCAGCGGTGACTAACTGCAGCTAGTGACCTTAATATTTGTATGCGTAAAGGAAATTCGCTGATTGGTGCGTCGGTGTGCCCCTTATTTAAAGCTGAATTCGACAAGGAACGGTGGGCATGGCACAGGACTGCGTTTATCAATATACAAACATGCTTTACATGTACTGTCCATGTAACCTAGAGGTACATAACGGAGACTTTTATCAGATAGACATGCAGTTATGCTCTGTATGTAACGGTATGTTTTAATCAACGGTGACCCATTTGTCAAAAATGCTGATCAGGATCGAATTTGGGCACTTGAGCTTTTAACTGGGTCAGCACCAGTATTTGCACCAGCGCGAACATTTGGTGAGATTAAATTTCTGATAAATCTCATTTTTCATCGGGCATCTCACAGATGTCTTGGAGTAAATAAGTGAACCTATCGGTTGCTGAATAACCCGCCAGCAATAGTTATATTGATCTGAATTGGGTATTCAAATGTGTTGCATTGGAAATCGAAGGGGTTCAGGACAGGGGCAAATTTTGCTATGGGTGTAATCAACTACGGCTGAACAATTTGACTGATTCTTCCGTGAATTCGTAAACGTCCCGAATATAGGCCCTAGTTAGGGGCGTTGCTCAGATAACGCGGCAGTTCAGCTCAAAGCCTCTACGCACTCTAAAAGAAACCTTTTGGGAATCACAGTTATTCTCACTGTAATTTTGTGGACTTGTATAATGTAACGCCTCTGTGTAGTTGCGGATGTGAACGTGCATTGACAATTTCTGCACAATTTTTACTGGTTATTCAGTACTCTATAAGGCCTGTTAAAATGCACACATATATACCTAGCATACTCTACACTTACATGTATGAACGGGTCTGGTTAGCTTTAATGCAGCTTATGGAATACGCATAAATCCAGTACTACTCTTAAATGTTTCAGGCATCATCTTCTAC